CTAAGAGTACCTGCTTGTACACCCAGCGTACTCACCCTGATCAACCCAAACTTTATTTTTCACTTAACCCATTAAGACAAAGCTCCAAAACACATATATGACTTCCTTGAGCTGGATTATCACGTAAAGTTGCCAACTTTCCTTTCATACATGGCTAAAAGAAGCTCTTAAGCTTAAGAGGAACTTAATGCATGCATGACCCCAAAATACACATAAAGCTTGCACCTTTATGCTCAAGGCCACCAAAACAAACTCAGATCTGAAAGGACAAACCCATAAACAACCTAACTCATCCATAATCCCAAAAAAGAGACCAAAATCATAATAAACTAGCCATGAAGAGATCTAATCATACACAAGCCAAGATGCAAACTTGATACCTCAAAAAGCTTCCCTACAAGATGATGATTATGGATCCAAAGCCTTCCCACCAAGCAAAACAACTTCAAGCTTCTCTTCTTTCCTTCCCAAGGGCCAAAATGAGAACCAAGTCCTTCTAATATCTCAAGAACACCACCAAGAGGCTACAAGGGTCGATTTAGGGTTTTTAGGGTATGGAGGCTGGATTAGAAATGAACAAAAGAGACTAACATAATGCTTATATAGGGTATAATACTAAAAATTAAGGTTTCATACTCACCCTCGTACGCCCATCGTATGAGGCCTCGCACCCCGATCCCTTTCTCGTAGTACGCTAAGCGTACAACCCATTACGCATGGCGTAACTCCCTTCGCATCAGTACGCCCCACGTACTCCCTTGGTACACCCCGCGTACTAGGGTTTCCCTTCAAACCCTAACTTAATCCGAAGGCTATAACTTCATTGATACAACTCCTATTCCGACCATCCTTATATCCATGAAAAGGTAACAAGAAACTCTATGCTTTAAACAACTCATACTTACCTTACAATATCCAAAACAAACATCCAATTTCCATAAAAGCCCAAGCTGACAAGTTACCAAAATACCCTTGGCTCCAAAACTAACTTCGAATGCCCGAATCATCCACATCCCATCACCCACACCCAAATAGGTAGTGATTCGGAACAGGGTGTTACAATGTTTAGGACGTTAACCATGGCGCGGTGATTAGCATTTCACGACGCTGGTCGCGAGGTCTGGTCGCTACTGTTTTGGACATTGGTGACTGAAACGCGACTTGAGAGTTGGCCGCGGTGCGGTGGTCAGTCACAGTGACTGTTGGCTTTTGGTCAAACTTGGAAGTTTTGAGTTATAGAGTAAGGTTCGACATTTGTAAGGTTTAGGTGGTGCGAGTAGCTAATTCCACGTGAATCTGACTGTTGTTTTTTCAACTCTTTGATTTATGTGAGTTTTCTTACTATACTTATAGACTGCAATATGTATATCGGTTTGTTAGGATGAGGTTATGATGTTAGGCAGGTAGACTATTTAGTTAGTTGCCTATGGTGTTGAGCTGTCTGTGCTGAAGGTGAGTTAAGGTGGTTCAGCTTTGTGCTGAAGGCCAAGCTAATCGGGCGAATTAAGGTGGTTCAGCTTTGTGCTGAAGGCCAAGATAATCGGGCGAATTAACTTCATGCTGACGATCAAGTGCGGATCAGCTTTATGTTGAAGGCAAAAAAGGGTGGTCCAGCTTCGTGCTGAAGGCCACTGTTTGTATTCTTACATGTATTGTGATGTTTATGGTATTTGGGTAATTCACTAAGGTTTGACTTACAGTTGTAGATTAAATGTTTCAGGTACCTCAGATGATCGTAGAAAGGTAAAAAAATGATTGTACACACTCATCGGTAGCTTTTGTATTTTGTGATTCCCCGTTAATCTATCATACTCTAATTTTGGGATTTTGTATTTTGGAACAAATCGTTTTTTTGTTTTTGGTTTATGAAAATGGTTTTTCATCTTAATTAAAAATTGAAAAAATTATTGTGAAAATTGGAACGTTACACAGATTCCCTCTATGAGCATTGTTATCGGTAAATTGCGTTTATGAACCGATAACATGTAGATAAATTATGGAATATTAATATCAATTACATTCCAATGGATGTTAGAGAAATAAGGTCCCAAATGAATAATAGTTATCTAAAATACCGTATTCTAGAGAAGATGATATTTTTTAAAATTTTGTAAACATTGGTTATGTTTATTAAAATATTGTTTATAATGATAATGATTAGATTACTCAATATCCCATAATTCATTCTATTAGTTATTTAATCCCATTAACTATTCATTTATCGTCCAATAACAAACCCTAGATGACTACATATAATTGCAACCACCTGACCACGACACTATCATCAATTATTTTTTGTCCATCACCATCACTGTGTCCAATCCATCACCATCATCTGCTGTGTTGCCAATAAACAATTACCATCAACATTCAATATTATTAAGTTTTAGTTTTGCAAATAGAAACTTCACAAACAGTTTATACCACCTAAATTTGTTCCATCCAATTGATGTCTGTCCTTGACGACATTTTAATTAAGGTAAGGTCAGAGCTTTAAAATGTGTTCATGATAGCTTAAAAATGCGATTAGGGATACGTTTGGCCGATGAAATATGAAAAAACAAAAGAGAATTAACCATACTCTTTTCTGTTGGGTATTTAATTAGTTGAAATTTTCTTTTTTCTCTTTCGGAATGGGTACTTCCAGGTTATTTCTTAAAAAAAAACCTGAATCGCATGTTCCAAACATGTGACGCAATCTTATCTCCATTACCAAATTAACCCAAGATCAAAAATCTCAAGCCACCTTTATCACATCCAATCCATCATATTGATCAAGAGACAAGAACCAGACAGGGATGCTAAAGAATGTATATTCTCCAAGGGCAAGATGGGAATAACTATATTAGAGGTCAACAAAGTGCTTCACTTGCATTACATTGCATCTAAACAAAACAGAACCAGATGAGTGGATTATTTATGTGCTAAATGATTTTATTACATGTTTTAAGAAATAACCTGGAAGTACGCATTACTCTGCATAATGATTTACTTTCTTTGTTTGCATATCCTACTTTATTGTGGTCTGGTCATTCATGATGCTGCTAAACATATCATTATGTTTTCATCATAAGCATGGCCCACATCATCTCAAGCAAAACTGATTTCTAAAATTCTCACAGCGGTTCTGATTTAGGACTAATTGCGAAAACATGCAATATACTTTCACCACGCTACCAATCCATGCAACATACTTCTCTTAAACATTTTATGTAACAAACTTACCAAATTATGTAACGCTAAAGGATGTAAACAAATGTAAGTTTCTTACATTAAATGGTAAAAAATGATAGCTTGTGACTAAGGCTATCTTTGGCACGCCACAGCTACCTTATTTTTCAACCTTTTTTAGGTTGTCATGTTTGGCAAACCAAAAAGTAGCTTTAAACTAGCTTTTTCAAAAGTTACTAGACTAGCGTTTCAATGAGATTATTGAGCTTTTTAAACATATTAGTTCCTTACTTTAAACAAATTCACCATTGGCTGATTCTAAAATTAGTATTTGATTTGATTTCTTAGGTTCATGGTTTAGATTGTGGCCAAAGGTAGTTGTTACAAAGCATTGAAACTTGACTTAGACTTAAACAAAAACATTACAAAATCTATCATTAATGCATAAGAGCCATAGCATCCAACGCCTCTTTTAAGAGTTATAACATTCTCAAACTTGATTAATTTTTTAGTAAAATATTTTATTTTTTAGAATTCATCATCATGGTTAATAAAGAAATCAAAAGAGAAAAAACCCTCGTCATGTTCACTGTTTTCTTAATCACACATTTGGTAATCCATATCATTTCTTACCCATCTGAGTGTTATGTATTGTGACATCACAACACATGTAATCACACTCAAACGGGTAACAATTGTTTTTTGAATCACAACTATAACCACTATGGTCACAACACATGTCACTAAGTGACATGATATATATATATATATATATATATATATATATAATCCCCTGATATTATAGTGATTCAAGCTCCTCAAATTCATTTGATGTGTAATTTTGATTTGTTCAGTCAAAACTGGGTGTATCTTTGTATTATTTGAAGTTGTGGATCCAGTGTAGTATATTATAAATGATATAATATGATTTTGGCACCTTATGCAAGGTGCATGTATGTATTTGCATCTGAAGGATACATTTTGTTATGGTGATTCATTTTTTAGTTTGTTAGGATTGTTTTCTTATCGTACTCAACTATATTTCTTTCTTTGTGTTGGGTAAAGAAAATCAAGGAGCAAGGAACAGAAGACTGGCTTCCATCTAAGAGGTTATGTTTTAGTTTAGCAAAAGTAATGATGAATTTTTGAAGATGTGTATAGTCTCTGATGGCTTTATCCTAAATATGGAATATTGGTAATAGATTTCTTTATTTGATGGTTTATAGTATGTTCAGGTTTGAGCATGACCTCCCTGTCCTTCTTGGGAATGGCATGTTGCAATGTTCCCCAAGTGAACTCATCTCATAGGAATGTGTGAGTGTGAGATGACAAAAAGGGGATATTGATGAACCCGAACAAAGTCAAAATTATATCTAGGCGAATGTAAGTGTCTAATGTTCCTACAGAGATGGAAGAGGGCAATGAACTGACTCCATAGACAGTTTACCAGTAAGACCAAACTCTGATGATCCATTGATGGCAAACTTCTCCAAAAGTGAGACTGAAAGCCAAAAGATTGTCTAAGGAGGAAGGGCTAGACTCACGATTCAAGCCTACCTTTTGTTCTAATCTAAGGGCTTCTTGCCAGGTTTCTGAATATTTTTCAAGTTTATGCTCTCTTTCCTGCCTATTACCTGTTCATAGTTAGAAGATTGTTGATCTTACCCTGACTCAAGAAGTATTTAGCACTTGTAAATTTTGATTGTTTTTGACAAGTTTGGTGTTGGTATTTATCCAAAAACACTAGAAATACACATCGCAAGTAATTTTTTCAAGAACCAATTAACAACAGGACTAGAGATGTACCAGAGGTTGGGAGCTTGGCGTTATCAATTTGTCGAAGATTCTCCTTTTTTAACCCATACGAGGGAGTTTTTCCCTTTCCTCGCCAAAAAGGAGGATTCACTAGGTCTGGGTTTTGGTTTGCCCTGGAATCTTCCAGCACCCCCTCTTCTGTTTGCTTCCTGGCTCACAATGGGGACATTCACATCAGAATCAGCAACAGCTTTAACTACACCATCGCCACGAACATCGTTGTGCGATAAGTCATCCACATTCTGAGTAAATGGTGTCCTTTTGTCATTAGGTTCGCAGACCACATTCTGATCCGACGAAGGCTTGGGTTTTGGTTTTCCCTGGTATCTTCCTGCACCCGATCTTCTATTTGCTCTCTGGCTCACAATAGGGACGTGCACAGTAGCGGCAACAGCCTCAACGACGCCATGACCACGAGCATCACTGTGCGATAAGTCGTCCACACTCTGAGCAAATACTGTCATTCTGTCATTGGGTTCACAGACCAGATGCCGACGCCGGCGTCCACCTACGTGCTGAGTTTGTTTATTCTCCTTCACCTCTTCTGGTACCAACAGTGGGGAGCCACCTCCCTTTGGATTTTGGTCAGTGCCCGACCTAGGTTTTGGAGCTCGGGAATTTTTTTTCTTCTTTGAGAGTTTGGAGTTGGAGTGGTCAGTCTTCTGCTCTTCCTCTCCCTTTGGATGATTATCCGCAGCATCAACTTGAGTTTTAGAACCAGAATCATCTACGGAAACCTCCGGTATGACTTGGTTAATGACCCGAGGGCGATTTGGTCTTTGAAGAGGAACGCGTCTAAGTGCAGCTTCGCCGCTTGGTTGACAACTAGCTTCATCGTCATGAGGCTTGGATTTTGCAGGATTTTGGTGGTGTTGTTGGAACCATCGCTCTTTGAGCTGCAGGATGGTGACGTAGTTGGAAGGAAGCGAAGAACCCTCGACCTCCATGCCAACTTTCTTTTCTCAATTGCAATGAAACCAAACAAGAATACTTAACTAAATGGGTTGAGTAAATTACACGAATCGCACTTATTGCAAAGTTCAGGTGTGAAAAATTACCTTCACTTTTTATTTTTTAAAATTAACTTGATAGATCGTCGATTTGGTCCACTTAAATGACCATAATACTTTTTTGTATTTATTTTTTGGTTAATCTAATATTATTTTTTGTTATTTATGATTTTAAAAAAATGGGCCCTACTCTCACCCATCCACTACCCTAACCCTGTTTTTGGGTGGTTGTAGAAGCCGCCAGAAACCACCTCCATCTCCGCTGAAAACAACCTCATCTCTCCTGTGCCGACATCATCTCCATCAACGGTTTGGATATGAGTCCGCGCTTCTTACCGAGACGACATCTTCATCACCACCGGCGTCATCATCTCTTGTCTCACCCCTTTCATCCATCCTTCTTCATCTTCATCTATCTTTCTCTCTCTTTTGAACCGGATCTCCAACACCATAGCCCTAAGCTTTGTTCTTCATAGTGACAACAGTCGAAGCATTTGTAAATTTCCAAACCACAAATCGAACTAAGAACAGAAGAGATTGCTTGTGATTTGTATCACCAATACTATTTAAGCATAATAGTATGAACTTGTTGACCGATGTTGTGACATCCCCAATTTTGCACTCTGAAAATACATTTTTCTTTATGCTTATTTAAAACAGAGTATATCTTTTATTTGTGCGGAACTTGTCCCAAAACATTATTTTAATGTGTGATAATATCAATATCAAAACATTTCCGAAGAAATGGTTTTCATTAATATATAAAAATCTGGGATGTCATAACTGATACAACAAACATAAGTATAAACATAGTCATTACAGGCCTTACAACAACTTATTGTACTAATGGTCTAAACTCCTCAAATCTCTCACTGGATTCATCATCATTATCATTGTACCTTCATACCGCTACCTTTGATAAAAAAAATGAGTGGGTCAAGCTGGGAAGTTTGATGAGCACATAGAGTTTTTAACCCACAATATTATTACCATATTGTTTCAATTATATATTTCACAACAAACAATTAACCCGATTACCCATTCCCGTTATTCTCACTCTTTGATCCTAAAATGATGATCTCAAGGGACCTATCCTATAGGATCATTGTAACAACGAGTAGACAATACTGCATCGGGGATTCCTTAGCAATATATGCTAATAAGGCAACCAGGGGGTAGAGTACTTGAATGAACACACAATCCATACTCTCGGATATCATGATTCATTAACACCTACAGATTGTGAGTCTGTTAGTGTTTCACTGGACTGTCTATAAGAGTATGTGGTTGTCATCAATACTTTGCTAGATGAATGCTCTCGGTAGTACAATAGTATAATGTTGGGCATGGTCTCTCACCATTATCTCATCTCTCACTGGTCTTAGTAGTACAGTAGTACTATGTTGGGTATGGTCTTTCACCATTATCTCATCTTTCTCTCTCTTAACCCTTTTACCCAATACATTATAAGTATGATAAAAATACATATATGATTATGTCAAGTAAAATCATCATCTCATTTAGCACATATATCGGGAACATAAATAAGAAGCACATAGGGCATTTAAGCAAGTTAAATACTTGATATCTATGTGTAAGCTAAAAGCAACTATAGACTCACATGTTAAAATGTAACATCCGGTTTTCGATGTATATTTTATTTTAATTAAAGTTTGATTTTGGGATCGCCACGGTGTGGGGAAGGATCGACACGGTGTGGCGATGCATTTTTGATCGCGGGTCTCTTTTGACTTGCCACAAATTGTTTTTTATCTTAAACCAAGTTCCTAGAGAAGATAATGTTGAAGCATACGTAGTAGCCAATCTAGGATCTTCCCTCGGGATCCCAATAGTTCACATAATGATCCCAACAACAGAAGATCCAAACAAGATGCTAAGAGATCTCACTACCCAGGATCCAGATCGATCAACTAACATAATAGAAATCGAAGATCCAATTCTCCAAACCCCCCACCAGGATCCTAATGTCCAAGATCTTGATCCAAACATTCAAGATCCACACCAGCACTCAAAATTATGGATCCAACCCATTATAGAATACCTCCATAATGGTACAATCCCAAAAGAAGAAAAAAGTGACAAAGCATTCAAAATGAGGGTCTCATGCTTTGTGATGATCCAAGGAGTGTTGTACAAGAAGTGTATGGAAAGACCATATCTAAGGTGCTTAGAAGACCATGAAGCCCTGGAAGTCTTGAAAGATATACACGAAGGGGATTATGGAAACCATACTGGGGGAAGATCTTTATGTTCCAAAGTATTAAGAACAGGGTACTACTGGACAATCATGAAGAAAGATGCCTTCTTACATGCTCAGAAGTGTGATGCTTGCCAAAGACATAACAATATCCTTCACCAACCATCAGAACCTTTACACCCCATCATTTCCCCTTGGTCGTTCATGAAATGGGGAATGAACATAGTTGGAGAATTACCTAAGGCACCAGGAGGAAAAGTCTTCATGTTAGCAATGACAGACTACGTTTCAAAGTGGATCGAAGCTAAAGCCTTTGTTCAGGTTAGGGATAAAAAAGTAGTCTCATTCATCAAACGCAATATCCTGACTAGATTCAGGATCCCGTCGGAAATCATATGTGACAACAGATCCTAGTTCATTAGCAAGAGAATGCGAAACTTTTGCACTAGTTAGGGAATCAAGATGATAATGTCTACCCCAGTTCATCCTCAAGCTAACGGATAGGAAAAATCCAACAACAAGATCATAGTCAACAACTAAAAGAGAATACTAGATGAAAAGAAAGGCAAATGGGCTGAAGAACTTCCTTTTGTTCTATGGGTAGATAGAGCTACAACAAAGACAGCGATTGGTCAAACCCCATACTCCTTATTATTTAGAGCATAAGCCATGATCCCAACTGAAGTGGTGATTCCAATGGCAAGATACCAACTCCAGACTCATTCAGACAATGACAGGATTCTAGCCCAGAATCTTAACACAATCGGTGAACTAAGGGACCTCGTCAAAATCCGCATAACAGCTCAACATCAAAGGATCACTAAAGACTACAATAAAAATATCAAGATCGGAAGATCCCAAGTAGGTTATTTGGTTCTAAGAAAAGGATTTCAAAATACCAAGGATCCTAAGGATGGTAAGCTGACACCTAAATGGGAAGGACCTTATCTCATTGATTTTGGAGCATGATAGGGGCATATTGTCTGGCTACTTTGGAAGGAAATCTCTTACCGAGATCATGGAACGTTGTACACGTCAAATCATACTTCATGTAAGTCAAGTTCACAATACTTCATTACGACAAGGTCAAGGTAAGCACCTACTCCTTACCCCCACCTTTCCTTTTGATCGTTTTTTCTCAAGATCATTACTAACTTAAGAATCGGAGGGAAATTAGATAAGCTAACGTTTTCAACGTGCAAAAACTTAGAAAGTATTGGTGACCACGAATAGAGATTGATCATCTCTCCTCCGATCAAGGGTATTTAATCCACTCTAAGGTTTGAAGAGTTAATGACCTCTTTCATCAGTGTTTGTGTTTCCACAACCCTCTTGGACGTACAATATCTAACTATGGAATGTGGATAAGGGGATCATTTCACATTTTAGTGGCTTGGCAATCCTCTTATCTCTAAATATGTGTAAAGAACCTAAGTGTTAATCTACAATTTATAACATTATCATGTTATCTTACGATTTGGGATCCACCCCAACATTCTAAGTTGGGATCCTCCCTATCATTTTAGGTTGGTATCTTCCCCAATATTCTAAGTTAGGATCTTCCCCAATATTCTATGTTGGATTCTTCCCAAGATTTTATCTACAATGATCCTCCAAGGATCAAATCCCAAGTCTATGCAATATTCCGACCTTCTCCAAGGTCAGGATCCCAAAGAATGATTCAAGAAGACAATTGAAATCTAGTTGAGAAAAGGAATTCAAAAATTATCACCAGGTTCTATATATATATATATATATATATATATATATATATATATATATATATATATGTATATATATATATATATATATATATATATATATAAGTCTATTTTTACTAACACACTATGCCTGAAGTTATCCTTAAGATTGTTATTAACAGTTACTTTTCTTCTAAAATATTCTCCTACACCACTCAAAACTTTATTAACCAAATTTATTTCCCATCAGAGCTGAAGGATCCTAACTATTCGAAGATCCTAATGACTATGTCAGACCCTAATGGTTTTTGTAAAACCTAAACCCTTTAGGATCGTAATCATCTTAAGAAAAAATTATTTTAATCCTATTTCTACAAGCAAACCATTCACACAGAAGAGATAATGAGACCAAAGCACAAGGAATGAAAGGGGTTGCCCACCAACCCATAAAAAGAAATTGTTTAAAAATCAAAAATAATTTTTTGTAAATCAATCAAACATAGGCACCTAAGGTCTGATCACCATCACCTACAAGAGTAACCTCCTCTCCTTCCTATTTCTCTTTTTATTCTCCATTCTTCTCCTTATTCTTCTTCTTCTTCTTCTTCTTCTTCTCCGCATGCACCACGGGATCCTGACTGACATTAACGTGCTATCCAGTTAACTTGGCCAGAGCATCAAGCCAACCAACCATGTTCAAGGATCCCACATTCCCTTTCTCCACATCCTCTTCCATCTTGATCTTTTCCTACCAAATGGTCTCGGTAGCACTGCTCTTAAGCTCGGCAATCACATCCTCAATCTCTTGGGCATGCTCCTCCTTCTCTGCTTTCTCCTTGCTCAACTTCTCCATCCTTGCCAGAAGATCCTTGTTGGTCACCTTCTATACGGCCTCCTGCTCCTTCAGGGTGCGCTCTGCCTCCTCATCCCTGAGCTTTAGATCCTTAGTTGATCGGGAAACATGATCCACAACCCGGGAAAGACTGAAGTTAATAAACTAAAAACCAAGCAAGGAAGAA